TAATAAAAACAATTGTCATGGCTTTTATTTTTCACAGCCACCTATGCGGTATAGACTTATTTTGCATTGAAATGAAAATAGTTTGATATGCTGTAATTGCAACATGTGTTATTTTTATGCTGCAAATTTGATTAGGGAGTGATAAATTTGGTGTTTTGTACTATATATTATCAAAAGAATCATTGTTAATATTTTAAACCTATAACACCCTGCTACATTTTTATTATTTGTGTTTGATAAGAAAAAAACTAAGATTTCAATAGTTGGGCCAACTGAAGAGGAAAGGGGCTCGTAGAGGTGGTAGGAGCACGTTTTTTGGATCTACAAGATTTTTGCAGAGAATGTTCTCACCAGGTTTCAAAGACTCCCTCAAAGGCCAGTTCTTTCTGCAATGTTGTTCCCTAACCCTACTGTGAAAGTGAGAAAATGTGTTTCAGCGGTGCTATCAACGTCTTCTGCATCCTTTTAGATCTAGTTTTTTTAACATATGTCAGGATCTTTAAAAATCGATTAGTTTGATAAATTTACCCATAAAATATTAAAAAGTGAATAAATTGCGGGTGATACGGCTTTTTAAGTATCATATTTAGTTTCAGCACCCTAAAAACATAAAGATAAAGTATTTTAAGTAAAAAAGTTTTAATCGTTGGTCTGTGTAATTAATGTTATTGTGTTGATACAATGATGTCATTTAGGCAGGGATTGCTACTCAAATAAGTCAAAAGTATACACTAAAACTACGCAATATTGGCGAAAAACAATCCAATATAAACATACAGGGTGTTAATTAAGTATGCAGCATAAATTTAACAGACGATTCGTCGAGTAATTGTAAGACAAAAAGTTCATATAAGCTTAAGTCCGCAAATTCTTCGTTCTCAAGATACAGGGTGCTAGAATTGAAAAAATACTGAATAGCATTAATATAATAACACCCTGTATAGGCTTGGCTCCTTCTAATCTATTCGAATTCGTAGTATAAACATGAGAACCAGATAAATTTTAGAAGTAACATTAAATGTCTAAGTCTTATTGTTTCGCCATCGATAGAAAGTGTCTCCTCCCCAAGAAATATAGGTTTTGAGAACCTGGCCCAGAGTTGCGAATCTAGAGGTTTTTTCCAATACCTCTGTAGGGGTATTTATAACATGCGTGGGAGCGAAATATTAAAGCGAGACCGTCATGCTACCCTTGTCTTAATGAATGTTCTGGCAGGATGACTGGGGATATGAAACATAGATGAACCGGAAGGCCCCCTCGCTCATATATGTTTTATGTCGCGTGTGTGCGTATGCGTGTCTATTACTACATGTATCTATTGATAGCCTTATAATGTTGTAATTCAATCATTTGGCATCTGTCGGTTCTCGACAGAAAGATAACATTTTTGTTTACAATCGGTATACGAGGGCGAACCAAAAAAAAAACGGAATTATTTTTTAAAAGCTATTTATTTTCAACTTTTTCACAAAGTAACCTGATCTCCTTCAAAAGACTGTCTACTACAACTAATACACTTGTAAGCTATTTTCATTTTTACCGATAAGAAAGCAAAATTTCACAGCTGCACGTTGCTCACTGAAGCTTTTCATCGTAAAAACCGTAACAAGCATGAAACAGCTGTGGCAAAATAATGACTAGAGAGGAACGAAAATAAGCCAGATCGACAACTCAGGCACTGAACTGGTAATGAGTTCCGCTGTACGCCTCTAGGGGCAGAAATGTCTACTACACAAGCTCCGCCCACTGCAATGCTATTCCGGTTATTTTTTGGGTACTTCCTCGTATATTCAAAATGGATACTAACTACTTCATTGGGCAAATACATATACGATTTTGTTTTCGAGGGGGATACAAGTTTGGCAAAAAATCACGTTAGCACGTCGCAGGTCTTCTAATGATGTTGGCTGAGTAGCATAGATTTTGCTTTTTAAATGACCCCACATAAAGGAATCCAAAGGTCATAAATCTGGCGATCTTGGGGGCCATGCTATGGCACCTCTTCTACCAATCCATCGATGTGGAAACGTCTGATCTAAATATTGTCGTAATGCGTAATGTGGTGGGGTACCATCCTGTTGGAACATCAACCTATTCGCAATGTACCGCCGATCATTCTGATTTTCAATTATGGCTGTTAATGCAGGATCTATGGCGTCTTCCGGTAATTCCAAATACATTTCACCGGTCAAATTTCCAGGTAAGAAAAAAGGACCAACTAAATGATCGCTAAAAGTACCAGCCCAAACATTTAATTTTTGTGGCTGCTGTGTATGAACCTCATGATAAATTCTGGGATTAGAATCGGACCAATATCGGCAGTTATGACGATTTACTACGCCATTTAAGAAGAAGGAATATTCGTCGGAAAAGCAAGTGTTGAATAGAAAATGTCCATCGTTTATAATTCGTTCACTCACATCTTCACAAAATTGTAATCGCCGATCAAAATCGTCTTCATTAAGTTCTTGTACTAGGTGAATTTTCCGTTGGACAGTACGTCGACTAACACCACACACAGTCTCCAATTTGCGGGCACTTAACGTAGGATCTACATAAACTTGCCCTAAAACCCCCACTTCTATTGCTTTGTTCATTATGGGATTTTCTATGTTGCGTTTTTTAAAGGCGACTTCCAGAAATTTAGCTACAAGTTCTAGAACATATTTTCGATGCACGTTACTGTTCTCATGTCGCTCATTAAATATTTCTGCTGTTCTATTAGCGCACTGATTATTTCCGAAAAATATTTCGATAATTTCAACTCTTTCTGCTGTGGAATATACCATGGTTAATTTATGTAATAAAGCGTTACAAGTTATTTTAGCAATAGCTATTTTCAACAACAAAATGATAAACAAACCATGGGCGTAGTGAAGAAAAGCATTTACTTATTAAGTAAATTCTTTTAGTCAAATTTCTACAAACTAATCTGATGTACCTACTAAGTCTACTTTAAGTTTTAAATCAATAAATGAACTGAAGCTCATGTATTTTACATCATTATAAAGGGAATCGAAAGACCTTTAAAATAAGGTATCACTCGACCCTCCTTTACATTTAAGATTTTAGGGTTGGTGTCACCCCCGCCCAGGGGGCTGCACATGTTAACGTAATTTTTTGACAAACTTGTGTCCCGCTCGAAAACAAAATCGACGGGTCTGAGCGTTTTTCCAAAAAAAAACTGAGCTGCCAGTAAATGCGTCTGTTTCGTTTTCGATGCGCCACCCTGATGCTTTAGAAGTTTAGATATTTGCCATTTGATACTTGAATGTTCGTCAAATTCTATATATGGTGTCTCAGAAGTCGGCCTCAAGCCGGAAACGGGGGATAGGCCAAGTCATGATAGTTATCAGGAAAATATCTAAGTCGAAACCGGACATGCACCTCATTTTAAGGAATATAGTTGCAATGCTAGTGCTGATTTATCGTGGTAGGCAGTGCCGTATGCTCCGCTGTTCGATTTTCGTCCGCCGCCGCGCATGACGTCACGCGGAGAGTGATTATCAGTTGGGTTGATATGGATAACGTGCATATTTTCACCTACAGGCCAAACGGCTGGATGGATTTTCACAGATTAGGTGTCGTTGGATTCGTCTTAACGGTGCGATTGACACTAGCTAGATTAAAATTTTATACAAAACAAAATAGTGGATTTTAATAAAATATTTAAACCCTGTAATTCCTATTTCACAGGCTGTAGCTTAAACGGCTTCTAGCTCCACAATAGAGCGTATCGTCTCTTCACTGTAAAAATAAGATAACTCCATTTTTCTACATTACCTACATTTTAGTATGTTTTGTGGAGCAGGATTGACATGTTTATGTCGTAATACTGTACTACATTTATCCTTATTCCACAGATCATCCTAAGTACATGTAGGTGTGAAAATGTAAGCAAATCGAAAAGTAGAAAAATGGAGTTATCTTCTTTTTGCAGTAAGGTGGTAAATGGAAATGACTTAGTCTAAGCAACAATTTTTTTCCATTTCCAAACTTTTATTCAGTTCTTTGATCCGGAAGAACAACCTTGACCTGAAAGACAGTTTTTTAGCTTTTTCAGGGCAGTCAATGTTGCTGCTCTTCAACAGAAGTACACCTATAAATTTTGCTCGGTATAGTCAGCTGATACTTCAGGTGCATTCAGTTTATTCTCGTTGATGATGCGGTTAGTGGTTAGTGAAATGTCTGGAGTATCCTGTGACTCTACGCTGCAATAGGTGATCTGAGTATACGCCTTCGTTTCGACCCAACATATATGACCTTATTTTATACTTAAACTCTAGAGGACTTGTATGGTCTTGAAGATCATCTTTTGCCCTAATTACTCCGAAAAGTTTTCTATCTCATCTTGATTAAGACGTCTTGTTAACAGGTATTGGACGCTGAAGCGTCGTTTCAGATCCTCTAGAGCATTTTTACATTGACTTTGTCTTATCTTTTTGTGAGATGTAGCAATTTTTTTGCTAAAGTTTGGGTCTTGAGGAAAACTGTGGAACTTCATGTCTTTGCAAAGATTCCGTTTAGATTGATTGTCGTAATTACATCCCACACCAGCACACCGCATTTTTATCAATTTATCAACCACACAGGGTATATAAGGTATGCATAACTAATACAACAAGTCACAAAACCACCAAAAAACAGCAACAAATCGCACTATATAGTATTAACCACGATACACGTGAACTGCAGTAACGTTACGACGATCCTGCCGCTGGTAACCACGAGCCGATAACTCTCCGGGTGACGTCACGAAGCTCCGCCCATATGCGCAATATCCTATCTTCAGTGTATGTCTATCGTGCATGAGAGGTATCCAAATACTGCTCGTCATCCCGATCACCGAGTTTTTGTGAATGTGCGCCGTTTACTCTCGGAGGGACGATTGCTAAATCAAGCACATACTGAAAGAAAAATTCCCTTTCCTTACGAGGACGACGTACTACAAGCAGGCGAAGAAGACCCGATAACTTCACTACGGCAAATTTTATTCATATAATATCATAATGTCAATATAAGATGTGTAATAGAAATTATATTCCTATTTGTTCATCAACTATGAGTGTTTTTGGTTATATCCGCTGTGTGAGCGATGTCAGCGCCGCCTAGTGGTCATTATTATTCGGAACTCGAAACATGTCGGTTCTTGGCAACTAGATGTTTCGACCAAAAATGTCTACTTGTTTTTCACTGAAATAAAAACAAAATAACTGCACTACATTTTCATTCTATATCTTAAAATACTTTTTTGAAATTCAGTTCTTATCTTGTACCTTGGAATGTAAAAATACAATGTTCACTGAAGTACTTCTAGTGATAGTTATCTAACTATTTCTTCACATTTAGTGCCACAAACTGATCGCACCCTTGAAACTTTGAATGAATGAATACATTTTTGAAATTAGAGGCATACCGGCCACCATGAGGAGCCGGCGCATAGGCCACTTTGCCACTAGATTCAACGGTGAGAGATCCAGCAGACCTTCCATTGCACTCAATGGCGTTGGAGTTTGGCCTTAGTTGTTTGGATTCCAATGCAAGGCCACCAAACGAGGGAGCCGTACAAGAGAGATGGACGTATAGAGCCAGTGTACCACTTTGGGTTTGAGCCCCCACCTGGCGACTCTTTTTTTTATCTACAAACATCTGCGGAATTAACAGCAACATTGATGCTGTTCATCACTACCTGCAATCCAATCGTCCCGCCGTGCTTTTCTTGGCGGAGACAAAAATCTCAGAGTCAGAAGAAGCATTTTCTCAGCTTCAGTAAATAATAATAGATGTCCATAAAAATTGTAAGGTGCTAGTTTCATTATGTGAGTTTTATCATTAAACTTTATACATATCTAGAAATATCAGATACTTCAATAGATAATGCTAATCAATAAATGCCTGAAGCTATTAAAATTCTAAGCATACCTTTTTGAGTAAGCTATTGCTGGTGTCACAAAATAATAGTTTACTCCTCGACCTGAGTATGTAATATATTATTATACCCACACACCTTATACAAAAGACTCGCACTAAAAAATATGGTGCAGAAAGTATGCAACGCTCGATACATCTCTGTGTGAGCTGGGTAATCTAACAGCACTACTAGTCCAGCTATAAATATAGCAAACAGATACAGGGGTCGTAGCAAAAGTATAACGTGTTGACATGGATTGAATTCAATCAAATTAGAAATAAGATCGCGGTCCAAACGCATCGATAGAGTCGTGCGGGTGATAAAACTATGAAAATTAGTTGAGTAATCACAATAGTATTGATATTTAAAATTCATATCCATTTATATTACGACGTCCTCATTTCGAAATATTTACTTTTCTTGAAAACATAATTTGCTGCAAAATGAGCTTTCCAGAAATTCCAGAACAGAAAAAATGATAAAAATAGTAATCACCTACTCAAATCTACTATAAATTTTGATGCACAACTTCACAGCAGGATTAATATTTGTTAACAAGTTACGACTGAATAAAAAATGCACAAAAAATGCATTTTTTGCCAAAAAATGTATAACATTGTTTTTTAGTCACTCCTATACATACCATCAAATAATCAAACGAAAGGGATTAGAATACTGCTCCAACCAGGCAGTTGAAACCTTAATCCGGCTCTGCCCTCCACCCTCAAATTCCTGCTGAATTAAAAATACGGTGAATGCTCCCTTAGAGCATGCACCATTTTGAATGATTTTCTATGAAATATTGGTGTAAGTACTTGGTCCTGTTAAGTTGCACGCCGTTTGAGACATTGAGACCTGGTGGCGAACTTCGCTATCCAGCCTGCTTCTATCTCTTTTCAACATAAATTATGTCTATACACACTTCTTTCTCTCTTGTGCACACTGAATTCGAGCCGTCAGACAAATTGGGTTCTCAGTGAATACCTAGCTGTTTCAAGAACGTTTTGACAACGCTCTTGCAAATACAATACAATACAATGTTATGTAAAGAAAACTGTATAAACATTCTTGTCCCCCTAACAGCATTTATAATAATTGTTAGGATACTATCACAATTATTACAATCCATCATCTGATGTTTTTTTATAAAATTTATGCATGTTCACGTGTTCACGATTCCCCATGTGATTCTACTACGCAGTGTTGCCAAACGCGTTTGTTTTTTACGATGAACTACCAACGACACGGCCAATCCCAAACCAACAAAGGATTTAAAAAAATTATCACGTCTATTTTGATCATAAAGTGTGTTCATAGAACTCCGCTGGCTGACAGCCACGTGACAAGTAAATCTATTTAGGAGAACTTTGCCAGATTGTAATACAAATATCACGCATTTATCAGGAATACAAAGTTTTTAGTGGAACAACAATTATTGCCACTTATAAAATAATTCCCAACGAGGGCTTCCCAATTCATCCAAATCTACTAGATACTTTATTGATTCACAGGATGTTATTTAACAATCACAATAGCAGAAAAGCGCAATTATGAGACAACCTAGTCTAAATCGAAAAATAAAAGGACATATAAAAACGAAAAATATGAAATCTGTCCAATATTTTTGGAATTTTAGGGTAAATTTGGTAACGTTCCCATAATATCCCCTCCACGTTTAGAGACCGTCACTTGTTCCTCTCCACGTGTTGCGTCAGTCACGGCCAACGCGATCTGTTGGCGGCCGTCGAAAATTAACAACCTTTCCGCAGAGCTTAAAATTACACGCCTAGATTATTCTAGATTCGATAAGGTGTTTCGAGTACATAGATAAAATGAATGGTGGTTGGTCCCCCAACAATCGAAAAAACACTTAAAATTAGATATAAAAATCATTGACCTAAGCGTATTCTTTATAAGCCGCAAATGTTTTTTTGGAACTCAGAATGTTTTAGTATTGATTCATTTTTTGATCGGAAAGGCTTTTTGAGCATATTTTCTAAAAACTCACAAAAATACATTAATTTCGAAATCGAATTTTAACGTTTTTTAGACTTGTTCAAAATATATTCGGAAAACGGTTTTGCTTCCCATATCCAAGTTTTGTGAAATACTTTATACTAAATACTTACGTAACACAACGGAGGGTCGCTTACGGTGGACAAGGTCTTACATTGTTCACTTACCTGAAACAGGAAAAATATTTTAATAACGGGTGATTTTTTAAGGTATATGATTTGATTTTCAAAAATAACACAAAAAAATATGAAAAAACGATGAAATATTTATTTGAGTCGATAGAACGGTCGATATAATTTAATGTTTAAAGATTATTTCATGTAAATGTTGGCCGCGGCTCCGCTTTAGATGACCCAATTTTGGCACACTCTCTCCAACATATCGGCCGGTATCTCACGAATAAATGCTTCAATATTGGCTTCCAGTGCGTCAATCGTTGCTGGTTCATCCCTGTAGACATTAGCCTTAACATGGCCCAACAAGAAATAGTCCAACGGCGTTAAATCACACGATCTAGGCGGCCAATTGACGCGCCCCAAACGTGAGATAAACTGTTCAGCGAACTCGCCTCTCAATAGGGCCATTGTTTCGTGTGCGGTGTGGCATGTGGCACCGTCTTGTTGAAACCACATGTCAGCCAAGTCCAGCTCTTCCATTTTGGACAAAAAAAAGTTTGTTATCATCGCACGGTAGCGCTCGCCATTCACAGTTACGTTCCGGCCATTGTCGTCTTTGAAGAAGTACGGCCCGATGATGCCACCGGCCCGTAATCCACACCAAACAGTGATTTTTTCGGGATGCATTGGTAGCTCTTGCAATGCTTCTGGCTGGTCTTCACTCCAGATGCGGCAATTTCGCTTGTTAACGTACCCATTCAACCAGAAATGAGCTGCGTCGCTGAACACAATTTTTCGATAACAATGTGGATCTTCCTCCAACTTTGCCAGCGCCCATTCACCAAATTGGAAACGTTGTGGGAGATCGTGTGGCTTCAATTCTTGCACCAGCTGTATCTTATAAGGTTTTACACCCAAATCCTGTCGCAAAAATATTCCACGTAGTGCAGTAACAGAGGCCCAATTGCTGCGAACGGCGGCGAATCGACATTTCACGGTCATCAGTAACACTGGCGGATACAGCCGCAATATTTTCTTCAGTCCTCACTCTACGTTTGCGTGTTGGTGGTTTAATGTCCAATAATGTAAACTGGATTCGAAATTGCCCATAAATTGGAAGCAGTGCTCGATGCACTCTCTTAACCGAGCATGAATTTTGATAGTAAAATTCAATAATTTGCAAGCGTTGTTCGTTCGTAAGTCGATTCATGGTTAAATTATAGACCAAACTGAACAAGTCAACAAAGACACAAGACACGATTCACGCGTCATCTGTCCGTTGTACCCTTCTAATCTTTTTTTTAAATGTTTGATTCAGTGAAATCTAGCTGCTCAAGTCCAACGTCTGCGTTCCGAAACGACCGTGACACGGTTCGTCGGGCGTAGATCGGCGTGGCGTGACGGCGTTGCGCGGTGCGCTTCGGCACCGATCGCGCGTCGCCGCTGCCGGGCCGAACGGCCGTCATTCGTCAGACGGTGCCCCACAAAGTGCTATCATCATGGCGACTCCCGGGCCCCTGCACCACACCGCGCACCACGCCACCCAGCAGGACGCTAAGGGCGGCATCCCGAAGAGCAAACGGAAACTGCAGAAACACCTTCGCAGCGCCGGACTGGCGTACATCTCCAGGACCGGCAAGCTGATTCCCGCCAAAAAGGTGGCAGGTAAGTTTGAATGAGAACTGTCATCGTCGCAGCACACTCGGATCTCTACGGCAGTGTTTACATTGTGTGATGATGTTTTGTGTGAAGTGCGCGGAAAATTTCGGGCCGTAGCTACCGTGACGTCAACGCTAGCGCCGTTCGAAGGTTGAATCATGCCTGATCACGATATCCGACTTTATTGCGCCGTTTCTAAATACCAAACCCATAGGATATGCCCGATGTGGAAAAATGACGATAAACGCTTCAACGATGGAATCAACATGTTTATTTGTTTTTGACAATGTCTTTTTTGAAAGGATTTGACCTTGGTTTAGGATATAGATAATTCCTGCGATAACATTTATAACCAGACGTCTTCATTTACAATTTTTTCCAACCCCCATAAGTATTGCGATCTATTCGTCGATATTATTCAAAGATGCTATGTAAACAACAACAGCAACAAAACACAAATCAATAAAAATAGCGTTTTCCTTGACACAATGATAAGTGAAAAATCTCGGAAAGGCAGATGCCTAGGAGATGACATTGACAAACATTTTATGGGACTAATCTGTGCTGCACGTGTGAATGAATGAATTAAACGAGAACAGGCTTTCTGAGCCATTGATCACTTGTGCACAGCTCCCTTGATCTTGTTTGCAAATGAGAAGATGGCCTCCGGTTTCAGGAAGCAAATATAGTTTGTCTCTAGCTTCACAGAAACCTAAAATCTGGACCGGGGACGTCGTCAATAAAACGGATGATCGACAACTCCTATTATGTGTTCGCCATAACGTTCAGCAATACAAATACCTACCAACAGTTATCATTTTTTTCCTATGTAACAATAGAAAAAACGTCCTATGGCCCACGATTAGAACCTTTGCCTAGTGAAGGTGTCCGCAAATTTTACTCCACCCTATAGAGCGTTGATTTTCAATCCACTCTCTCATTATAGCATCAATTCTCTCTTGTAAACAGAAGATGTAGCAAAACTTGAGTACGGCTAAATACGTGCACACCGATTTGCTTGTACAAATTCACGCGTTAACATTGAAGTGCTGGTTATGCTACTTTCTTCCGTTTTGGTAACCGAGCATAGCACATGAGCTTGTCAAGCTGCTATAGCTTCTACCCAGTGCCATATGGTCTATGATAACAATAAAGTTTGTCGTTGTCAGAAATACAAGGAGCTAACCTGAATCTTCAGTTACAATTTTCACACTTCTTTTAATCCTACTACTTAAGGGCCGTATCGTCAGTCGTTCCTACAATTGTAGCACGCCTTTATGGTTGCCTTGATTTTCATAATTTTTTTCTCCTAAAGAAAGGCAGGTGTATGGGTCCGTTATCCTACTTGGTCATGGAATTATTGTTTCTAGCTTTCTGCTTCTATTGTTTCGTGTCAGCTGTTGTGAGGTTAGGTTATATTTTTTGAGCTTCAAGAAATCTTAGATGATGTTCAAATGCAGAATCATATTTTATAATAATAAATATAGATCCGTTTGCATTAAATTGTTCATTTTCAGATCATTTATACCACATATGGGATTTTCCTAACACAACAATTTCTTTGAGATATCACAGCCTTTGAAATTTGATTGATCGACATAATTTGTAAGAACATTTGATTCTTCAGTCTTAAAGTTCCAAAATAACCTCAAAACAGTTGACACCATATAGTAGAGGTAGAATGCTAGAAATAAAGTTCCATGACCAAGAAGGAGGAACGACTGACGATTTGGCCCCAAAATATCTCGAAACAGAAAAGAATGCAAACAGAAGTTAGCCTTCAGGTAGTCTATAAGGCTTCAATTCAGTTCAGTTTGGCACTATAAATTGGAATGGGACTCAAATTTTGAGGTGCATAACAGTTGTTAGATAAATAAATACAAAACATGTTGATCATCAAGAATATAATGTCATCCCCCTGGGCATCATCAAGACACACACAAAAATTAACATCTGACCAATAACTCATTTTAGAATACAACTCTGCG